GTCTGATTGCTTACATTTAAGAATCCAAAGAGCAAATGGGTCATGCTTTACTATATACTGAACCCCTGGACCACCATAGCCATTTGTCCAAAATAGCCATTTGTCCAAAATAATGGTCCCCTTGAGGCCCAGATCCAGGCAGGGATCTTAGGGGTAACAGGGCAAGATAAGTGATAGGAACCTAAGGATTGCAGCCACAAGGCCAACTTGGATAAAGGGTCTGTCACACTGGGGTCTCTTGAAAACACAATATTTTTGAAAGAGTAGTCTTGGTCAGAATTATTATTATTATTATTATTATTACACTTTATTTATATAACACTGTAGATTTAGAAAGATGTAAAATATAATAGGGCAATATCTAAAGCAAGGTTTGCTGCTCATTGTTATGAATGTACTTAACACATTTTATTCCATTAAAAAATAACCCCAAGATGCCTCATAATATAAATCAGGGGAGGGAAGTAATCAGTAATACAACTAACATAGTAAATCAACTGATTTACTAGGTAGCAACATGATATCTACATCACTATATATTTTTTCTCTGTAGATCTATTTTTCTCATGTTATTTCCTTTCTGTTGTTTCATCTATAAATTTCCAGTCTTCACTAGCCAACTCCAAATAAAGCATTAACCTCTGAAGTGCACTTCTGATAGGGAAAACTACCAAATGACAAATAATTAGTTAAAAGGTATAATTTATTGCATTAAAGACTCTACAGAGATAAATCAAGAATGGGGAGAGAGGGTTAGAAAGGTTTATCCATTTCCTCCTATTGACAACACGATACTAAGCTTTGGGAGGGCAATTAATCCAAGGCTAGGAATAATTTTGGTTGTAGATGTATGAAGGTAAGTAAAGCAAAGTGCCAGGAGTATGGTTCTAAAAGCCAATAAACTATTTTAATATGTATACCTGCTGTTCACATCTACAGCATAAACATTAGACTCTTTCCTGTTGTAAGTAGGCTGTTTTCTTTGACTCAGTTAAGTGTGGCCCTAAGGTCTCATGTTTATGACTCCTAAAACCATCTCAGATTCTTTTGGACCACTGTTTTTCTTGCAAAAAGGGAAGACCTCCTCTCTGTTCCTCTAGCCTTACAGACAAATCTGGTGGAAACATGGGAGAAAGCCTTTTTGGTGGTTGCTCCCAGGCTCTGGAACTCCCTTCCAAGAAAGGTTAGATGGCCAGATTCCTTGCTATCTTTCTGCAGACAGGTTAAGACTTTTCATTTTTGGCAGGACTTCAAAGACTGTTCAAGGGGATTAGGCTTTGCAGAATTGTGCTGTACTGTCTATATGTGTTCTGTTTATTCCACATTTTAATACTTATATTTTTAGACTGGTTTTAGTTCTATGAATCATTTAATGACAATTTTCACTTTTGCATTTGGTGTGTGTGTGTGTATATATATGTGTGTGTATCTATATATGTGTGTGCATGCATGTGTGTATCTGTATGCATATGTGTGTATTCGTGTGTTTATACATATGTATGTATGTGTGTGTGTCTTTTAACTGTTGTAAGCCATCTTCAGTCCAAGACTGGGGGGAAATGGTGGGAGATAAACTGCTCCCTGGACCTGTCAAAGTTGCACATTTCTGCCTCATAGTTACATTTGGTTATTTTCCCTCAGTGGACCAAGATAAGTAACACTGCTCAATGTACTTTCTTCAACACTACAAAGTTTAAGAACTACAGATTTAATTTACAGGCCAAAATACACGAGAAAGTGTTAGACATTATAGATGATCTGTGGCTGCCAACACCAACACATAAATTGTAGCTGCCTGAGATGGGATGCTGTATAAAAATATTGCAGGACACTATATTTCAAACTTTACTCTGCTTTTTCAGGAGGAAAATATATGTAACCTTGTTTTCAGAGCATGAAGTTACTCCTCCACAATCAATACTTCTTCTTCCCCATTGACAAAACCCGTTACAAACTCACCGATATGCCATTTGTCCTCACAGCCACCCTGGTGAGGAAAGTCACTTTTATTTTTCTGGGTAAACTGAAGTTATGGAGCTCAGCTCAGGATTTTTTTATGAGTTTCTGGCTAAATAAAAAACTGCATGACAATATCCAAGATTCAAACATGGCTGGCCCAAGATATCCCCGGCATCTTTCTATTTGGAAAATACACTTTTCTGGTAAACAAAAATCATGGAGCTTGGCCTACGATTTCTTTATGAGTTTCTGGCTCAATGAAAAATTGCATGACAACATTCAAGATCTTAGCATGGCTGGCCCAAGACATCCCCGGCATCTTTCAATGTGGAAAACACAATTTCTTGGGGTAAAAGAAAATTAAGGAGCTTAGCCTGAGATTTTTTTTTGTGAGTTTCTGGCTCAATGAAAAATTGCATGACAACATTCAAGATCCTAGCATGGCTGGCCCAAGACATCCCCAATATCTTTTTATGTGGAAATCTCAATCTCCTTTGGTAAAAGAAAGTTGGCCTGAGATTTCTTCATGACTTTCTGGCTCAATAAATAATGGCACCACCCCATTCAAGATTCAAGCATGGTTTGCCCAAGATGTCTCCAGTATTTTTCTATTCCAAAAATATAGTTTTCAGGGAAATGGGAGTGATGGGGCTTCCCTTGGGACACCTCTGTTTCTGGGTCAATAAAAAAATTGCATCACACCATCCAAGATCCAAGCTTGCTGGCCCAAGATATTCCCAGCATCTTTCTAGCCAGAAAGCACAGTTTGGTGGTTTAAGTAAAAAAAGACACTTACCTGCTCTCGAATGAGACATCT